CTCCGCCGGCGCCCCTCCGCCCGGCCGAAGCCCGCCGCAGCGCCCCTGCCGCCCCGCCTCCGTGCCCTCGACCTCCGGCCGGTCCGCGCCGGCCAGATGCGTCGCCGCCGCCACGGGATCTGGTCACCGCAGGCCAGATCCGCGCCTCCACCGCGTCCCCGCGCCGTCCCCTCACCTCCTCCGCGGATCCCGCGTCCCCGCGCCCCCTCGCCGTCGCCGGAGCACCGCCGTAGCTCGCCGGAGTTCCTCTCCGGTGGGATCCGGAGAGGATGGACCAGATCCACCAGTCCCCAATCCAAACGCCCGTGCCCCGTCCCGGATCTCGTCGTCCCGTTTTCGTCGGTATAAAATTCCACCAAGTCCCGAAATATTTTGACATTATCATGCCATGTTCATCGCATCATATCTCCATGCGTACTGCTCTGTTTTGTGCGTGTAATATGTCAAATTGTTCGTCTCAACGAGTAATTCATTTCATACCATTGCATCATGTTCGTTTGAGCTCATCTTGATGCCTGAATCATCATTGCGGGAGTGCTATATGATGTTGTCTGCTGTCTGTTAACAGAACATGCTCTTTTGTCATTTTTGTCATGTTTGATGTGTGCATCTTATGAGGTTGATGTCTACATGTGTTTTGAACTATGACATGCCATATTTACATAGGTGCTTACCATGTATTTTTTCGATCAATGTGGTGACTAGCACAAGCATGCAAACTAGGCCTCGTGATGTTGCTGATTTTAGTCCCTGTTCTGCTGTTATTTTGATGCCATGTAAACTTGATGCTACAGAGAGATCCAAGCATATTTTGAGATACTTCAGTAAGGATGTTTTGAACATATGGTTATTCTCTATCCGTTCATGCCCCTGTTTGCAATTATGGAGTAGTCTAGCATGTCATTTTCGTGCTCTACTTTTGCTACAAAATGTTTCCTGGCAGATTGTTTACATGTTATTCAATTTTGCCAAGGTTGTTGTAGTTGATCCTTGCATGCTATGAACTTGTTCTTTCCTTGGTTTGTTTCATAAACATGTCTTCTTGCTGATGCTATGCTTATCTTGTCATGCAATCACTTGTGGTGAGTGAATCAAGCTTGTTAAGTAGGGTACTTGCTGTTACTGTTTTGCTAGGCTGAATCTGTTATTTTGTGATGCTATGTAAACCTGCTGCTACAAGTCATTCTATGCATAATCTGGAAATGTTCACTAAGGGTGTTTTGTTATGCATGTCATGCTCTATCCATCCATGTCCCTGGTTGCATTTATGGCTTGCTGTAGATTGTTTTAATCTTACTCCAAAGTTGCTAAATAATGTTGCTGTCAGCCTGTTAACATTAAGTTTAGTTGTTGCCATGATTGTTGTTAGTGATCCATGCATCCTATGGACTTGCTCTTGCCATGCTTAGATTCATAAACATGTCTTCTTACTGTTGGTTGCCTTGCCATGCCATTTATTGCTCTGTGATGATCTGTACAAGCTCACCAACATGCCTACTTATCGTTGTTCCTGCCATGTTTGCATCTGTCATATAACTCGCTATGTTTACATGGGTGCCATCATATCTTCTGATCATTTTTGTCCCTTGGTCAGTAAGGGACTTTTGTTCTATGCATTTAGTAGATTCATGCCGTGCCTTTGTTTGCCATGATAAGTTCTTGTAACATTTTGTTTGATAGCTCTAAGCATTGCAACCTGATGTTATTTTCTGCAAAGTCTGAAACTATTATTATTTGCAATCTTTCCATGTGTGTTTGAGCATGTTCTAGTGATTTCTGGAGATAGCTCAGTGTTCATGTTTTATTATGCTTTACCTGTACATCATGCCCATGTCTTTTGTTATTATGTTGGGGTGCTGTAACATGTTGTTTTGGTGCTTGCAATATGCCTAGTTGCTGTTTTGGACAAATTGTTGCTATAACTTGTTTCATGTGTGTGTGTTGAACCGTTGCTCCGTTTTGGGTGTGCTCTATATGAAACTTGCTTGATTTTACATATAGTTTCATATTATCATGTTGCATCCATGTTTTGAGGTGCTTTCTTGTTGTTTGTATGCATTTTGCATCAATGCCATGTTTAACTTGTGTTGCTCATATCTTCTAGGCCGTAGCTCTAAATCTAATGAACTTTATATGTAACTTGACTAGAATCTCGTGTAGATCATCTTGGTGCATCTTAACTTGATGTTTAACAACTTAAACATAAGGTTTATTCATATCTAGACCAACTTCGAAATTTGCAAATGAGGACTTACCGGAATTGTTATATGTTGTTCCTGGCCTCATTTAAACTTGCCTTGATGTGTTGCTCTTGTTTGCATCATCTCTTGCCTTGAGTAGCTTCATGTAGTCTTGTTTTGCATCATACTTGGTTGAGCATCATGCCTTGTTCATGTGTGGTGTGTTCACTATGTTGTGTGCTTCTTCTCGATAGTTCCTGTTTCGTTGCGGTCGTGACGATTCGTTCGTCTACGCTTGGTTTGGCTTCATCCGTTCGTCTTCTTCATGGACTCGTTCTTCTTCCTTGCGGGATTTTAGGCAAGATGACCGCTACCCTGGATCTCACTACTATCATTGCTATGCTAGTTGCTTCGTTCTATCGCTTTGCTGCGCTACCTATCGCCTGTTTATCAAGCCTCCCAAATTGCCATGAACCTCTAACCTTTGACACCCTTCCTAGCAAACCATTGCTCGGCTATGTTACCGTTTTGCTCAGCCCCTCTTATAGCATTGCTAGTTGCAGGTGAAGTTGAAGATTGGTCCATGGTGGACAGGATTATGTTGGGATATCACAATATCTCTTATTTAATTAATGCATCTATATATTTGGTAAAGGGTGGAAGGCTCGGCCTTATGCCTGGTGTTTTGTTCCACTCTTGCCGCCCTAGTTTCCGTCATACCGGTGTTATGTTCCCGGATTTTGCGTTCCTAACGCGGTTGGGTGATTTATGGGACCCCCTTGACAGTTTGCTTTGAATAAAACTCCTCCAGCAAGGCCCAACATTGGTTTTACCATTTGCCTCACCTCCACCTACATTTCCCTTGGGAGTAATTAACCCAAGGGTCATATTTATTATAGCCCCCCCGGGCCAGTGCTTGTCTAAGTGTAAGTCCGAACTAGAGCCCTTTGTAGCGCCCCCTCAGGGAAACTTGAGGTCTGGTTTTAGTTGTACGGATTTCACATCCGGTGTTGCCCTGAGAACGAGATATGTGCAGCTCCTATCGGGATTGTCGGCGCATCGGGCGGCTTTGCTGGTCTTGTTTTACCATTGTCGAAATGTCTTGTAAACCGGGATTCCGAGTCTGATCGGGTGTTCCTGGGTGAAGGTATATCCTTTGTTGATCGCGAGAGCTTGTCATGGGCTAAGTTGGGACACCCCTGCAGGGTATAATCTTTCGAAACTGTGCCTGCGGTTATAGGCAGATGGGAATTTGCTAATGTCTGG